TATATGGATTTATATATTTATATATATATGTATATGTATGTATATGTATATGTGTATATATACATACACGAGATGAGTAGACTTTATGTTTTCATTCTATTTCGCATAGCCTTGCTTTCGCAAAAGAACTTCCCTGTATCATAATAGCTTTGGGGAAACATAAATTCTACTCATGAGATTGTGGGAAACTTCAGCTACCAGTAGCTTTGTCACCTTAAACGAAACAGACAGAATACATGTCAAATATGGGAAATATGGGCGATAAGTGGAGGTAACGAGAAAGGCGCCTAACCTCGGTCTTGGGCGATTAGAGCTTAGTGAAGTAGGGAGAATCAGCTTTGGCCCAATGGATGTGGCTGGATTGGACGGATTAATTAGTGAATAGCTCAGTTTTCTGGGGGGGATCAGGACCCAAAGAAAGCCGCTTTGTAAACTTGTCTGTCAAGCAAGTCCTCTTTTGCCTCAGACACTCGCCAGCAAAAGTGGCCATTCATTTGCTGCAGACCGGCTCTGCGAGAGCCAGTTCTCGTGGACAGACCGTTTGATTGTCCCATTCTACGAAAGTCAACCTGCTCCTCCGCGGGTCTTGGAGATACCGGACACCGCAAACCACACGACGCCTCGCCCAGCAACCCGACTTGTGCACATCATTTTGTGGGCTGCTCGGCAGGTTGTCGAAGAAGTGTGTGTGAAACCGTCATCCACAAAGCTCGATCCCACCGGCAGACGACGCCGGATTTGGCTCGACTGGACGTCGTTCGACTTTACTTGCACTTTCTGGTTGCTGCAGTTGCTCAAACATTCTCGTTCCACCTTCGCCTCGTCAATCGGCATGTACAGATTGTCCTTTTGTTCTGCTTCACTTGGCTTCCGGAACTGGTGCATCCGGTCGTCAAACCAGCCCTACTCTCACCCGAATCGCCGAGCCCTCGATTGGGCCGCCCACTTAACCGGATATTAGTAATATTTATAGTTGAATCAAGTAGTATTTCGAGACTGTCAAAAGATGTTGATCAACATTTTTGGTTTCCAGAGTTCACATCAAATAATGGAGGACTGACTGATCAAGTTTCCCATAGGCAGCTGAGTAGGTGTCAGGATGAAATAAAATTAAACTTATTTTTCTACATTTTATAAGTGGGATTTTGAGATAACCAGTAGATAATTTATATCAAACCTATCTATTCATGCCTCAAGCGCATAGGCAAAGAGTGTTCACTTGTCGCCTGGAGTGGACTGCAGATTCAACCTCGCCTCGCGGGACTCGAACACTGGCTGATGAAGCACGGCACTTGCTCTCAACGCATTAATCCTTACGCCAGACTGTCATGAGTGCTCTGGGATCGCAGATCGAATATACGAGATCAGATTTTTAGAAATGCCATTAAAATTAAATTGAGCATATTCAGCTACCACTCCTTTCACATGGGGCATCTATTAAACCAGACATTCCCCCAACGGGGTATAATCGTCTGCCAATTTCTTTCAGTTAAAACTGTGATTATATAAATTAGCCTATTTATAAAAGAGTATCTAATTCTTGTCTAAAGTAATAAACTAAAAGACATATTTGTTTTGTTTAAAACCTAACATACATATAAAACCACATGTTAGTGCTGTCATTAAATCTTAAAATAATTCGTATATATATATGTAAACAGTCCCGAAAACCCATTTATGTACTAAAATGAGTCATGGGAATGTACCGCGTCCACGGTCCGACTTTGGAAATAATTATGCATAAAATGGACTCAGGACAAGGTG